TGTTGCTCTTACAAGCTTTTGCAAATGCTTTAGGCCTCACTTAAGTACTTGTGATTCTTATGACTAAAATTAATTTATTGTTGGTCTAGGGTAACAATGTTTAGAGCTGCTAGAATAACATGTTTGTGTGCTCTCTTGTTAAGTAGAACAAAGGCAAGTTTTGTTTTGCTTGTGGGACGTTGGCTGCTAGAACAGTTTCTGTAGTAGTGATGTTTTCGTGGTCATAATGGTGTTTTCTATAGTTATGGAGAATACCAAAGTCGTAGCTAACTTTCGTATCTTGCTTGTCCTAAAATTTCATGACCCCAGGCTTTATGGTTTAGGAGTTATGAATTTTAGAAGTTTGTTGTCAGGTTTTGCTTATGTTCTGAACATATCTGAATATTTGGTTTGTTTTACTTGTGTGCATATAGAATTATTTCTTGGAAATAGTAGAAGAAGTATAGTAATTTTTCTAAGCTTTCCAAAATGTCTAATAGCACTGCTTTTGGTGATCTAAATCTCCAGTTATGAGCTTGCAAAATGGAATGACAGAATCTGTCTAAATCTGGGCAGAGGTGTCTTCTTTGTCTTGTTTGGTCTTGTTCGCTGTAGGATCATCTTAATATGATAATAAGAAAGTTATAGACAACTTAATAAGCTTTACCTAAAGTCTAGGATCACCTTTGTTTGATGCCTACAACTTTAGTTATGCTTGAAACATGTGCCTACTGTATTGTTGTTCAGTTTTCTGTGCATATACTAAGTGGATGCTTTAGCTTGCTTTGGTTTTGGGCCAAGCTTGTAGTTAAATCTTGTCTGGTAAATGCTTGTTATGTGTGTGAGCCTTGTGCTTAGTATTTGTGCTTAAGCTAATTTGATTGAATCTCTCAAATGCTTGCTTGAAACTATGATGTGGTATGTATGTTTGTCATCTAATTAGTGCCATAGTTGTCACCTCGTTTGTCCTCGGTAAGCATATGAGTGTCAAATAGCTTTATCCTAGAACAACGCTCAAGTTACGTAATCGCACGGTTGTCGTCTCCAATTAGGTTCTCTCTTGGGAGCCTGAGCCTGTAGACGTGGTCACTAGCCCTTGAACGTTTGTGTATCTATGCCTTGCTTGAACCGTAGGCCCAAACTTAGTTCCCTTGAATGCTTGCATGTGTCATGGTTGTCCTGCTCCTGTGTGGGAGGACCCTGCTCAAAAATCCTTGTCGTTCCTCATTGCTCTTTCTCCTACTGATGAGCTAGTGCAACGCTAATCGCTATCTGCCCTGGCATTGGAACCTTTTCCTCTCAGATCATGTCATTGCTTTATCAACTGAATCCCTAGTCAATGCAATGGCTCTGTCCCTCGAATCTCGTGTATTTTGTCTCCAACTCTTTCAAGTCTCTAGATGTTTATCAGTCTTGATCTCATGTTGCTGCTCGACAAGACCAAATCTCATGTTAATCTTTATCTGGTAATCACTTGGGTGGACATGAGGCGTATATGGAAATTAGGCAAGAAGTCCCCTACTCAGTTGTCTTTGGCAATTAAGCTATGTTCTCTTGCGCTGTGTTTTGATCTTCAGATCACCTCCTTGTTGATTCCTAACCTTGTGACTATCCTTGTCTGCTATCCCTCTTTTGCACAATGCTTGTTCTTATAATCTAATTGGTGCCACCGGAAATTTCACTTTGGTTGTCAGTTCAATAATGGTGTTACGATTAACATTCTATGGTGCCACGACGAAACCGAGAGCCTCCTATGGGCGCGCACACAAGGTTGTGCTGCTCGGCACGCACTGGTATCAGGGTTGCTAGTCACGATCCATTATGAAACGATAGCCGATGTGATATTTTCTTGTGATCCTTTCTTGGTTATCTCCCCATATCTTATCAGAAGATCAATCTATTAGGACCATATGTAGTAGAGCTTCCTCCTGATGTCGTCTGGAAGATAACCTTTGAAGAACAGATCACCGGCATAAATATTAACAGACTGCAAGAGGTGGTAAACAAGTGACTCTACCTAGCTGTCCCTGTAATGACGTCGATCGTCTGATGAGCAACTTATGTCATCCATGTTGGATCAGAAAGGAACCCAACACTTAATGTTGGACAAGTTATCAATCTAATGATAATAGATGGTGATATCATGTGGTGTAATAGGTCACCGGGTGCTCATGAACCTCCAGTTCAAGTTCTTGATCTGTAGGTGCATGATGGTCATACAGTTGAAATCAACCGTCTCTAGTGTGACTCCTTATCTGCAGACTTCGATGGCGACCGTCTGTTTGTGCCTCGATTGCAATTATTGTTGTGGTCACGAGTAAGAATTTGGAACTTTGAGTGTTGAGAGACAACTTGATTAGTTACTAGTCGGAAGCTTAACCTCCAGCTAGGTGACAACTTTTTGCCAATTATGAAGGCTATGTCTCGCAGAGCAATGTTAAGCAATGAAACATCAAGCCGTTTAGCAATGCAACTACTGCTTTGTTTTCCAAAATCTGTGCTATCAAGTCAATTCCATCTTGGACAATCACACAGATAGTACAAGACGTTGTATCGGCTACGTAAGCAGCTAGCGAAAGCATGTCCCTAGTTTCAGTCAGCATCTTTGTGCCCTTAGGTGCCACTACCACATGTGTCCGGACTCTAGTGGACGAAGTGCCAAAGGATATATAGGAATGGTTCCTTATCTCTGTAGGACAGTCCCTCCATGTAGAGTATGCTTTGTGTCCTGAAAACATAGCCACAAGTCCAATGCTTGTGCGCCGTCAAGTTGGTGCCTAAATCAAACGATTTAAGTTGTTTCCTGAGAACCACATATGGAAAACCTTAGTCTACATCCTCAGAGAAAAGAGCTGCTGCTGCTGCTATGAGAAAGGTTAGAGAGTGCAAAACACACACCTCAACGTGTGAAGCAAAGAAAAGGGAGAACACGAAATCTGTCCAGATTTTGTGGCACTAAACCGGTTATCTTCAAGCCGGCAATTAGTGACTCAAACGAAGTTGGATTGGCCCCAAACTTGGTGATCTCATTCCTTGCTTATGACCCTTCAATGTCTTAAGTTGTTTTGAGTATTGGTTGAGTAAAACATCGGATTTGAGAGATATCTTGTCAGGCTTGGTTTGCTGCCATTTCAGAATAGAGCAGTTTTGGTAGATGAATTGTTTGGATACTCAAACAGTGTCTGTTTGAGCTGAATTTTGGTGAGAAGTTAGGGAACTCATGGATCTATATTCCTACCAAAATTCATGCACAATGGAGCACTAGTTTGTGAAATATGAACAGAAAACCGAAGAGTACAGAATCTGTAATTTCTTTGTGGCTGCGACCATCCTTCGCATTCGAAAGTTGTGTTTGCAATTGATGCCAAGGTACCTATGTAATGCGGTTAGTGATTGTTGCTAGATAATCCTTTAGATGCCCTAAAGAAGACTCCTTGGGCCCCTTTGTACCTTGTTCTTGGCCTCTTCTATCAACAATGTTCGAACAATCGAGGTGTTCTACGAGTCAAATTGTGCCCTTGCAATTCGAAAGTAATTGGAAAGGTGTCAAACCATAGATTTTTGGGTTATGGTTTTTGAGGTATTGATTGGCCTAAGAATGGAAGCCTTGACATCAAATATAGTTTAAGAAAGCTGGCTAGTCCCTAGTTTTGTGATTACTTGCAACTTGTGTTGCCCTCCAAGCCTCGCTAACATCCTTCTGCATCAATGGTTCTCCAATGCTAACATGACTAAGGTGTCTTCCATGTGTTTTACCCAAGGGGTTGCCTTAGATACAACTCAGATAACTGTTGCCGCTTGGATACGAGAATTCCCTTAAATAATGGTCGTCGAAAACGCTGAGTCAACAGAGTCAGCTATCACATTCATTGCTCACTCAACGAACTCAGGTAATACAGTATTGTTATCAGAGAAAGAGCACTGCACACATGGAACATTATGTAGCTTTCCATCAGTTGACATATGAGTGATTGCACCGCTACAACCAGTTTGGATATTGGTTAACTAGCTTCTCATACCCTCAAAGGATGTTTACCCCTTCTATGATCACATCCTTTATGAGAAGTTGTGCTCAAGCCACTTTAGTAGAGAACTGCTTTTCAAACATTGGGAGCAAATATAGCACCGTTGCAAGGAATATCCGTCAACCGACTGCGATCTAGTGCAAAGTCCATAAGCTCTGTGCTATATCCACTAGGGAAGTAGATGCTACAAGTATTTAGTCTACATTTGTATAGCTCTTCGTACATCGAGGACGAAGTATGTAGGACAGTGCTATCTTGGATTCCTTCCAATGTAATAATGCTTTATGCACTACTACAGCGCAGGGATATAGTAACACCAACTTGTGTTACTGTATATTGGAAAAAGTGTTACTAGCTCACTTAGTAACATATTTTCTTTTGTGTTCCAATTGGCTATGTTACAATAGACTGGTTTATTGTAACACAACTACTTGTCTATAGGAACACTTGTCTAGTGTTACAATGATTTTTGTTGTAACACTTTTTTTTGCTCTAGTAACACTTAACAATATGGTAGAATGCATAGTGTGGAACACATTTATTTATCTATCGTAACATTTGCATAGTGTTACAAGAATGTCTATTGTAACACTTTTTTTAGTTCTAGTAACACTTCCACATTATGGTAGAGCACAGTATATGAAACAAAGCAACACATGGTTTGTAACACTTTTTTATATCTATTGCAACATATTCGGATTATGAAACACATATTTATTTCTCCAATACATATGGCACAAGGATTATTATATAATCACACAAATATGACACACTGTAAAATCACATAAACCATAAATTTCCATAATCATAGCATGATCCACATATTGTGGAATGATCTCAAACATAGTGCTTGTTTAGAACAAATCGTAGTATATGTACATAACGATATGGCTCAAGAGAGCAAACACACGTAGTCCATACTAGAAAGAAAAATTCAAGAACTAGCTATGATTCCTAAAGTCCACTGCTTCTTCCTGTGCGCATTGATGTAGGAATTCAACCATTAATCATTTGAACCTGCAAAGAAAATTTAAGTTGTAACATTACAAATTAAGGCACATATATACATTGATGTAAAGTTAGGAAAGCTAGTTTTGAACATACAAACATCGAAGGCCAAGCAATTTGGACTCCTTTGGCATGAGCATCACCAATATTGTCGCACCCAAGCATAGGCCTCACTAATGGCTCATCTTTTGTTATAGGATGATTGATACGCACTTTGTAGAATTGACTTCCTATCTTAACTCCACCAACAAGGGCTTCTGGATTAGTTCTCAAGAGAGTTGCATATGCCACATTACCATTATTAGGATATTTCGAAGTCATTAGTAGCACTGTGGACCCAACCTACATTAATTTGACATAATCTCTTAGTGACCAGCAACTCTTTAGTTGTACATCGTGATCATGCATTTAGAACAAGTGATATGTTCAACTACCTTCATTAGAGAAAGTCGTTTAGGTGTTTGGCGCCCGTAGCTTGTAGCCTTGTCATGAGACACCTCCTGGTGTGCAATGGTTCTAGTATCTACAAGCCCTCCGTGATGTCCCATACACATGTCAAATGAAAGTACAAAATAATAAGACACAAAATCTACTATAATTATAGCAAAGTGTGGTTCATAGATACCTTTTGTTTCTTTGGTATTATTCTACTTGTGGCGGAACTCCTTTGACAAGAATCAAACTGAATGGAAGAGAAAGGCAATTGTATTTATACACTGTTATAGACATCTTAAATAACTAGCATTACAAGTCTAATATATTTTATTCAATGGTACATTGAAATAGTGTACCTCTGTTGGTGCAAAATCATTATGGAGGTGTCGTTCAAATATTGCCTGTGCTTCTGCTTCTTCTACTTCCTTGTCATTATTATCACTTTGGCATTGATTCCAATTCAAAATCGTTCAAATGATAATTAGTAGGTAAAATATTAACATGTACTAAACTAAGAGTATATTGTTGTTCTTAAATACAAGAAACCAGTTGATAACCTTTTCTCCAGATAAAAGTACATTGTCATCATCACTAAATTCAAATTCACATGTTTCTTTATTCTAGTAAACAGAAAAGACAGTAGCATTAGCTGTTATAAAAATCCTTTATGGATGCATAAGCATTAAATTCACAAGCAAGGGTGTCTTTACCAATTCATCCCTATGTTTGAGGAATCCCTCATTCTGGTTGGGTGCACCACACTGGACTCTCTAAAATTTTTAAAGGATATTAAAGCCAAAATACTAGTTTAGGTGAAAACATGAAAAATAGTGCAAATACCTTTCTTTTACAATTCAGTACTTGATTCTGAGAATTGTTGTGATCACTCCTAGCACAATTTCCCTAGAAAAAGATATAAAGTTTGAATAACGCATTTCAATACAGAGTTACAAAATTAAGCTGTACATTCTTACCATTGTTGCTTCTTGGTTCTCATTGTGCCTCTGATTATTTTTTAGTTCTTCGATAACTTTGTCTTGCATTCTAGAATGCTCTTTGAGTTGCCTTATTTCCTCCAACATGTGAACCTCTACATCAGATGATGAGCCATCTAGTGAAACTATATTAATGTCCTTAAAATGGTGTGTTTTTCGACCATAAACTTGTTTAGGAACTGGAAGCAATCCCATGCCGTGCACTTGTCCAGCTTTTTCTTCTCCCAACACCTGATGTAATGCATCACCTTCCCATGCAACTCCGCCCTCACTATTTTGTGCTAACTCTGGTTGTGTGTCTAGGAGATTTTCCAATTGAACCTACAACAATGAAATCCAGACATCAGAAAACAGAAATAATTATATATTGCAAAAAAGTTCCCATGTGCATGTAGCATACCACTGGCTCATTTATCCCTTTTCCCCTTTTCCTGTGAGTGGCTAGATAAACCTTTGCTCTATGTGGCTGTTTTTTTTTCAGGATCAGCTTGCCTCTGCAAAAATAGTAGTAAAGGAAAAGCAAGAAGAATCATATATAATTTTTTTTACGAGAAGATGTACTCACCATGTCCTCGACCAATGAGCATAACTCTTTGTACCTCTTTGTATGAGTTGTCTTCCTCATTTCACGACTTATTTTGTTCTTTTCACTAAGGGTCTACAAGAAAAGTAAATTATTAAATAATGAACCATTATACATGTAGAAATCAACAATAGTAGACGATGATAGTAAAAAATACCAAACAGTGTAAATAGTGGTGCCTTACTTTTCCTTCTTCGGACTTCCAGTATCCTACTAGGGCCTTCCATTCAGCTTCAACAATATCATCTGGACAACGCTTGTTCAAAACAAACCTTTTCTTCTTTGGATTAAATAGTGTCTTTTTTAATGTTGCCTTGTATTTTCTCCAATCTCTTCCAATTGATTTGAATATCCATTTCTCACATGAATGAGGATACAAGAACTTTGTCTAAAATAAGAAAGTCACTAAAGAATGAATTTGACTTCATGACATGATAACAATCATATCTTTTAAACAATGAAATCTGCACCAAACACTCTTGCCTATCATCTGGCCACGTGGGCTCACAATATTATATGAGCTAAACGCTACTGCACTCAACACTGAAGATGTAATTCACTTCACAAATTCTATTACACTTGAATAAAAAGACCAAATCATCATCCCAAATAACCTCTCATCTATTCAAGATATATCAGGTTTATTTTCGAACTGAAACAAAAACAAAGATGGCTAGAGACAAACTGATGTAGGTGCTAAGAGTGAAGAAAGAGCTAACCTGTACAAATTGAATGATGGTTTCTCCATAGTCTTTCTTAACTTTTCTCCAATCTATGGCACCAACCGGACAGTAACCACCATTTCTTGCTATGGTGCCCAAAAATTGGCCTAAAAGGCCACCTTCTTTTCCAATGGGCTGTCCAAGCTTATTACATCTTACTACTATCCTATCTCCATCAAGTAGATCCCAAACATGTGTTAAAATAGTCCCCTTTCGCTTTTTAGGTTCTTTGTCGCCATCAGCTATTAAAAATAGAATGACAGTGATAGTAACTAGTTAAGATACAGTCCATATGAATGAGATTGATCTAACTACATTTGTACCTGATGTGTTCTGGTTCTCATCATCGCGCTGCTCAACCTCGTTAGCATATAGTGCTTCAGTATGCATTAAATTTAATGCTTTCTTTTTCTTTGTACCTCCTCTTCCTGCTAAACAAATTTTGAATATGCTAATCTTGGATGAAAATAAATCATTGATAACTACCATGATATGGAATAGTTAAGTTGTACTTGAATAATCAGATATACATACAGAAGAGTAAAATTATATGTTCATTCTAATACCTTTAGTTTTTTTTGGTTTAGATTTGGATGGTTCTTTGTTGGACTTGGTAGGCGCTAAAGTGGCCGGTCTGTCCTTTGTCACAAACAAGCTAACCATCTTTTTGCTCTCACACTCGTTAAGCATTTTCATCACTTCAGGATCTTGTTCTAGTACAACCAAGCTATCTTTTCGCTTGTAGTATAGATAGTCAACTGATGAGTATCCATGATCCTTGATCAAATCAATCAGGTTCCAGTAGCATATCACATCTCTGTCCATTTCCGTTTGCACATGTCTCTCTCCTTCAGGTGCCCCATCACATTCAAGATTTATGGTCCAATTATCCACTGCCATGGTTGCACAATCTAAATAAAATATAGTACCAATAGAAAATTAAGAATAAAGATAACAGAAGAGTAACAATTAGATTAAAGTGCATATATGTAATGTTATTTGAACTTGGAGCTTGAGAACAAGTGAAGTGCTACGGTTCAGATAGAATGGTCAAAAGGATGGCATATTAGCTTTATATATAATACTTGTGTTTTTGCTCAGGTATGTAAAGATTTGATGCCACTAGGCAATAGAATTTTGAAACCTTATATCAGCACATAGCAATATCAGATTGCTAAATTTCCAACCATTGCAAAATATGACAATTAATCTTTGCAGGCACCAACAACTAATTTTACATGCAGGAAAACAGAACTAGCCAAAAATTTTAATCTTTGCAGGCACCAACAAAATATTTTTACATGAAGAGAAATAAATTAGACCCTGCACACATATCAAGATGTAAGAAAGAACAATCTTTTTATTCATCTACAGGTCTAGACCAGACATGCAAGATTTTTTTTGAGTTGTAAAATAGACATCCTCAGTCAAAATAAATTGTCATAATGATCAATCAGTTCACAACCTATATGAGGCAAATACCACTTGTGAGGTTGAGGAAAACAGAGCAGAACTACATACAGCTGCAGACTTTTGTCACCCAGCGTATCTGGCATATTCAAGTCATTGCCTTCAGTACTACTACCCCAACTTGACTCCAGTAGTTAAAATCTTGTGAAAAGTGATTCTGAAATATCTTTTGTGTGAAAAGCGGTGCATTTAAGTATTCTGAAGGTGGAGGCACAACTTTAGTTTCTAGTTTTACAGAACCAAAATGATTGATCTGTGCAGACTAAATTTACAAGGGCAGGGACAGAGCGGCTGCGACGAACTTTGCCGGCGGGTTCAAGGTGGCCGGGAACTGCTTGGGCTCGCACACGCAAGCAGCTGCGTGGAAGCGTGCGCGAGCGCGGCACCGGAGGACAGTGGCTGACGGTGAAGCTGCTGCGTGGCAGCTGCTTGCTGCTGCTACTGTTCTCAACTGAAACAGCCCTCTCCCTCTCTCTCTTTCTCCTGATTTCGCAAAACAGCAAGATGATCGGCCTTAAGAAAAGTTGGTCATCTACAAGAGCTCACCATCTTTGCTTAAGGGACCATCATCAAAAGATCACTGGTTTTAAAGATTTTGAATTCAGAAGATGGGCACTGTGAAACTGTAACTGAAACCACATTCAGAGTTATGGAAAACTGATTTTACTTATCAAATCTTGCCAATTAACTAATGGTTAACCATTTGTCAAACATCGCAACCAACTAGAATTATCATATCTGAAGCAATCTACCAAACAATGGAACAAAAATTTGGACAAATTTTACTCCTATACTTCTAGTGTATACTACCTATAGGATGAGGCCCAAGGGATTTGTATGCCTAGGGCAATGATCATGGAGCGATAAGGCAGGAGGAGACTAGGACATCGGCATCGGGTACCTCGAGCGGCACAGGGTTCCGTTCGCTGACTGGCCCGCTTGTGAAGAGGGCCGATGATTTGGGAATTGTGGGAGCGGACGAGGAGTTGAAGAGAAGCATACCTAGCGATCTGGCTGGACGGACGAACTCGATCCGCCGCCACGAGCATGGATCAGCCGCCCGGCGGGGTCCTCTCGCTTGATCGAGATTCTCTTCTTCGATGGGGTCGGGGGAACTCGACGACGCCGCCTTCGGCCGGCATTGGCCACTTCGCCTCCGTCGAGTCCGTTCGCCGCCACCGCCGCCTTGAGCTGCTATGTCGATTACTCGATTCGTGGAAATGAGGAGGGAGTTGGAGTTTTTTCAGCTAGATTCAATTATTCGATACGACTGAGTCACCGAGAGGGGCATCTGTTTGGCGGCAGATGTATTGTTCGGAGGGAAAATTTGGTGGGAAATACTTTGTCTATTTTTTTTGAGGGAAACTAATGTTCCATGTCTCTTGATTCTAGATTGGTTTTGTGATAATATTAATAATGACACGTATATTAGTTTTGTGATAATATTAATAATATGTACCAAATTAGTGTATTTTAAACTAATGTCTAATAATAATTTTAATTTTTACATTAACACATAAATGAATTTTTATATAACTAATGGCACCAAATTAATGTGACCAATTATATTACTATTATTAATATGATAAATATTAATGAAAAATAGTTTCTTGAAACGAGTATTATTAACTACCACTACACTTTCACTTATGGCTATAGAGCATATGGTTTCATCCAGGATAATGCCGACGCGTGCAGGTGAAAGTTGCTCGGTCTGCACACCTTTCCCCCTCGTCTTCTCCTCCTCGCGTCTTCCCCCACCACTAGTGCCATGTCGTTCCCCTTCCACCTTCTCGCCCCGTTCGGCTCCATACATTCTGCACACCTTCCGTCTCGTCTTCTCCTCCTCGCGTCTTCCCCACCACTGGCGCCACATCGTTCTCCGTCCACCTCCTCACCTCGTCCGACTCCATATTTTTTTTGAGATCTCAACTCTTCATGTGCAAGTTGTAGTATCCGGGACTCACACACCAACTCACACCACAACAAACTCACACACACACACACACACACACTCACAAACACACCTAGTGCGCAAATTAGATCTACACCTATACGAAGAGACTGGACGTGGCTAAGAGGTATATGAAGTTGTCACCTTGTCTTCGAACGTGACGAGCACGTCACCCTGACGACGAATGTGGCATATCCACGTCTAAGGTAGCTAAGCCAGGACCAACCACGGGCTCTTGCCATCCAAGCTATGCTCGGTTCTCTCCAGCTCTATATCTAGTGCCCCTAAGCTCGCCCCCGTCTCCACCACCTCCGACCGCTGGTGACGACCACCTTCTTCCCCTCCCCCCTCTCTTGATGCGGCCATGGCAAACTAAGGCGACCTCCTCAACAAAATCCTATGCGGTGACAATGCTTCTTCTCCGGCGGCGGCAACAGTGCTTCTTCTCTGGGGGCGGCGGTGTTTCTTGTCCGGTGGCACCAGCGAATCGACGGCCAAGGAAAGCAGCAGCGAGCATCGCGCGATGGATCGGGTGTGCGCGCCGAGCGGCGAATTTGTACGCGCTTGGACGCTAGCATTTCCCAAAATCTTGAGTTCCATATTTGACATCTGAAAGTTCTCAAATAATGGGATCAGATGAAAACAAAGTTTGGAATAAAAAGCTATAAATTTTAAAATTTGAGGGGATTTAAAATAAAATTTCAATATGTATTTTTCAGAAATAATTATGCACTTAAAAACATTTTTCCTGATGTCAGCATAACCGGTTGTTTTGGGCTTTCAAAACAACCGGATTCTCAGCCATCGGATCTGTACTAGCTGCCATCCGAGGCGAGTTTGCTTCCCATTCCCTCCGGCTTTGTCGCAGAATGGCCGCCGCCGCCGCCCAAGTCAGCCGGTTTGCTGCTCGCTCGTCGTCAGATAGGTCCTGAGCCGCCACCGCCCAGCGCAGAGCTTCTCCCCCGCCCTCCTTCGTCGTAGCTCGGGGAGACGCCGCCGCCTGAGCCCAGTGCGGTGCGGCCATCCACGGTCGTCGCCCGGCGCGGACGCTGTCGTTCTCGCCGGGCGCCCCGTGCGGCGGGGGGCGCGGCTGTCCTCAACCGCGGCGCCCACGGCGCGGTGGGTGGCCGTCCACGGTGCAGAAGTTACCGCCCCGGTGGCGCCCCCGTGGTCGTTTCTGGCGCGGACGGAGGTCGGCCCCTCCTGTCCACCATTTTTTTTTTTGAAAATTCTCAAGAATATGAAGAATCTGTGGAATATAATAGCCTACTTAAAAGCGAATGCAAGAGGTAGTAAAGATACAGTTACTGTAGCCTATCGTGTCTGCTCACTATCAGGTAGATATGGTGGAAGAGCTTCTTTCTGAATGCAAATCATGTATTTTCAGTGTACAAAGATTTAAAAAGTGGTTAGAAACAGGCCATAGAGATCAGAAACAAAAAACAACATTAGAGAAAAAGAATCACATATATCTTGGTCTTCATAGCTCCGAAGAAAACACATAAAAGAACTAATTTGGCCAAACACTAAGCCACTCAAGTCTCAAACTTTAGATACAAACTCAGATTATCCAGCTGACCAGAAATAGCAAGCAATCAAAATAGGTTGAATTCCATGTTCAGAAGTGAATAACGGCTCACTGAATTATTGGGGTGGTCTAGCAGAGCTTTCAACAGGCAGTAGGTACCCAGAGCTCTGTTTTATTGGAGATCAGCAGCCAAAGCTAGCAGCTGCACAATTGTAGCTACTCACTGTTTGTTCAGTGATCTGTACAGGCTGCCATATATCCAACATCCTTTGTTTTTTGTGGAATTATCCAATTTTCTTATTGCCCTAGGCATACATCATGAGGCAATAATTAGCAGGCTGTACACTTCCTCATTTATCATCAAAGGAAAAAGAAGCAAAAGTTCATGGATTTTTTTTACAATTAATTTCAGCATTGTCCATCACAGCACCTTGACTACAGCTCCTTCAGGCAACACTATACTACTTCAGATAAGATTCATTATAGTATCATGGAAAACATAGCTGAATTGTTTTAAAAGAAATCATAGCTGAATGCATATAGTGATGCATCCTGCAACTCTGAGCCATATATTTTCATACTGACAACTAGAGCACATTTTATTTCAGTGAACCAAATCCAGAGGTCCAAGTTCAGAGAACCAAATTTGTAGAAACTATTACGAACATTTTGCAAGAGCATTGCCAAGTGAGTGAAATCTGAAGTCTTTCCTGTACATGCTATATTGGCAAAGTATTCTGATTCATTGTAATTCTCCCCCCAAACTTTTTTCTTTTAGCAGTCCTCTGAAGAAATAGTCAAATTGTTTCATCATCACAGTGGTTATATTTCGAGGAGGCTATTAGAATCATAGCAGACAGTTCCATCGGAAGGCTATTGTGGTTCCTGTGAAGTTAAAACAAGGTGGACGATCCAAATCTACTTTCTTTATTTCTACTATTATAGATT